TATGGGAAACAGCTATAAGATGCTTAGGTGTTTGAAAAAAATTGTTATAACAGCTATGTCTTTGTAAAGATGTGTCAGACAAAATGATTTTGCTCAAAAAGCATGGAACTCGGTCGGCCCAGTCCACTTCTCCCTTTACCATTCAGGAAGTCAAACATAAGGTCCAAGTGATCCAGCAACACAGCGGTGGAGTCAGGATAGCCTCTACGCCTGGCAGGACCCCTAACCCATCACTAGACCCAGGCCCTGTTCCTACATCTGTGAAATGAGAGGTTCCTCATGACCGACCTCCAGGGACCCTGCGAATCCTACAATCCCTGTGCCCTTTTCCATTTTCTTCCCAGCCACCGGGCATCAGAGATGATAATATTTCAGCCCCAGAGGCCCCGGCCCTCTCTCAGCTGTATGCTAAGCAGCTCTGCAAGGCTCACGGCCAGGAGCAGAGCTGCCTGATTTTTGGCAACTGGATAAAGCAAGTGGCTTCGGAGCGCTGAGATCTGGAATCATGTGGGGACATCAGTGGACCCGTTTCGGGCCGCCCCCGTGACTCTGTGTGTGTGTAGCGAGCAGGGAGAGGCCTTGCCGCGAGGTCCCACGAGGGGGTGGCCTGCCCTGCTTGCCCCCTCTGGCGCGGGGTCACCCTGCGTGCATCCCCTTTTGGGCCCTCGAGCCCAGGCGGGGCCTCACTGAGGGGACCAGGTCTCCTCACAGCTGCCCTGCACCCCAGCGAGACACAAACAACACCCGCTTTTGAGTGAAACAACTGACCACCCAGGCTTGCCAAAATGAGGACAGGCTCTGAAAGGGGGCAGTTTTATTTCAAGGGTTTGATGGGACCAAGGAGATGGAATGAAAAGTTTCAGCTATTAAAAAAAAAGGCTGTAGACTGTCTTCTTCCAAATAAACAAACCATCCTTTGAACAAGAAAACAGCCCTGCTAACGGGGTCAGGCTGGAGCTGGATCATAAAGGAGTCACGTGTCCCTGGGGCCCCTCTCCACTCCTGCTCCCCTGATTTCTCCCTCTGCTGCTTTTGGGAGCCCAGTGCTCTCCTGCTGGGGTCTTGCCAAGGAATGAGCTGAGCTCATCTGACACCGGCCCTTCCCAGGACACAGTGCTTTACATTTGCAACGGGGGCCCCTGCAAATCTCAAAGGGTAGAATTCCAGGCAGGGAAATTTCCCCAGAATCTCTCATATCACAGCATAAAGGCTCTTCAAAAATATAAGAGTTGCCTCCATTACCAACTTTCAATATTTTATGGGCTTTAAAAAAAATGACTAAACCATGAGTTTTTTCTCTCATGTTTACACAATTTCTCTCGCTAATGATTACAACTTATTGTTTGTGTGAAGACTATGTTATGTGGAATGATTTACAGGATGACAGGGTAGAACGTAGAAGATCCCCCCAACTCCATATTAACTACATTATATCTGTATTAATATTTTTGTTGTTGTTGATTTTATTGATTAAGTAGAGTGTATTGCGGCTTCTACTAATTCAGCCCCTCTTCTGAGTACCAAGGACATAGATGGAACTCTGATCTTATCCTGTCCTCAAAGAGCTTATAGGCTGTTGGGAGGACAGAAGAGATGTGAAGACATTATATCACCCAGAGAAATGACGTGGCCAGCCAGCGTAGAACCTGGTGGGAGCACTGAAGAAGAATATTGGGACATCCATGTACAGCTGTGTAGGTTGTGCACTGCACAACTTTGGGGTCTCCATCCCACAGACCCCATTTTCAATAGAACCCCTGGAAACTTTTGAGTGTGAGGAGGCTTGTGAGACTTCAGAACAAGCACCCAGGAGTCAGATATAGGTCTAGAGCAGCAGGGAGGAGTCCTGACTCCCAGAAAGAAGGGGGAGAATTGCTGAGGATGTTTGGAGGCTCATGAGATGACACATCCCCTGCTGGGAGGAGGGCTCTGCTTTTTAGTGGAGATACGGGAGAAAGAATAACTGATTAAAGTGTGTACTATTTGCGGCAAGGGCTTAATTTCCAAAATATAAAAACACCTCATATAACTCAACAGCAACAAAGCAAACAGCCTGATCAAAAAATGGGCAGAAGACCTAAGTAGACATTTCTCCAAAGAAGAAGTACAAATGGCCAATAGGTGCCTGAAAAGATGCTCAACATCGCAAATTATTAGGGAAATGCAAATCAAAACTACAACGAGGTACCACCTCACACCGGTCAGAATGGCCATCATTAAAAAGTCTACAAATAACAAATGCTGGAGACGATGTGGAGAAAAGGGAACCCTCCTACACGGCTGGTGGGAATGTAAGTTGGTATAGCCACTATGGAAAACAGTATGGAGGTTCCTCAGAAAACTAAAAATAGAATTACCATATGATCCAGCAATCCCACTCCTGGGCATACATCCAGACAAAACTCTAATCCAAAAAGACACATGCACCCCTATGTTCATAGCAGCACTATTCACAATAGCCAAGACATGGAAACAACCCAAATGTCCATCAACAGATGAATGGATAAAGAAGTTGTGGTAAATATATACAATGGAATATTACTCAGCCATAAAAAGGAATGTAATAATGTCATTTGCAGCAACATGGATGCAACTAGAGATTATCACACTAAGTGAAGTAAGTCAGACAGAGAAAGACAAATACCATATGATATCACTTATATGTGGAATCTAAAATATGACACAAATGAATGTATCTACGAAACAGTATGTATCACGGACATAGAGAACAGACTGGTGGTTGCCAAGGGGGAGGGGTTTGGGGGAGGGATGTAGTGGGGGATTGGGGTGAGCAGATGTAAGCTATTCTATGTGGGATGAATAAACGACAAGGTCCTACCATATAACACAGAGAACTATATTCAGTATCCTATGATAAACCACGATGGAAAAGAATATTAAAAAAAGAATGCATAAATATGTATAAATGAGTCACTTTGCTGTACAGCAGAAATTAACACAACATTGTAAATCAACTATACTCCAATAAAAAAGGGTGTGAACGATTTGGGGTTATTCATTTTACTTCCCAACTCAAAGTTACTGCAGTGCCTCACAGGGCCTTATATGATCTGTGGTCTCCAAGACTTACCTCTCCGAATTTACCTCCTGCCACTTCCCTCTCCCCACACCTCACTCTATACCAGCCACTCTGTTCTCCCTGCTGATTTCTCAATGAGCACACAAGTGCCCACTCCAGGCCTTTGGTCCAGCTGCCCCCTCCACCTGGAGCTGCATTCTCCCAACCAACCGGGTGACCAATTCCACTTCTCATTCTAATTGCTGCTTATATGCCAGATCCAATGCCCTCCCTGACCTGCTTATCAGCATCGCATGGCAGCCTGGCCCTCATCTCCCCCCCGCTGCATGATGGATCCCTGGGACTTCCCATCCACTTTCCCGAATCACTTTTCACTTTCTGGTAGACCATGAATTTACTTATTACCTACATTAATATTTGACGAGTGGGATTCATACAACTTGTTTTCATCTCTTTGGTTTTTCAGCATCTTCTGCTACACTCGGTTCTAACTTTTGTAGTATCGGATTGAGCCAGAAACTTTGTAGTATATTTTGATTACATGGAAGATGCTATATGTTTTCAAAAAAACATATAATGCTAATCAGGTCCAATACAAACTATAAAGACATTCCTCTAGTAAGTGGTTCTATACTCTGAATATGTACTTGTCACTGAATAAAAAAATACAGAGCCATATTCATAACATGTAGTTTAAAGAAAAAGACCAGAGTTTTTGCCATCAAAAGTGAGAAAGAAAAAGAAATAAAAGCCACTTTAAAAATATACTATCAGAATATTTCATTGAAGCATTAGGTAGCTGAACAAATGCTAAATGGTGAGTGAAAAGCCTTGGTTTCTAGTGATGGCCCATCTATAACTAGTTGTGTAGCACTGGATACGATCCTTAACTTCTGTGCACCTCAGTTTTCTCAACTCTAATTGTGAATTTTAAGACATGAAAGTGACATTATTGAAAAATGCTCCATCCTCCAACCACATACGTTTATCATGCTTTTTAAAATCAAATGAGGAAAGAGAAGTTCTGGCGTTGTGCTGGAACTGTGACTAACGATACTTTTCTTTAGCTCGAGGATGCTGCTGTGCACACACCAGCGGAGGGCATGGGCTCTGTGTTACATGCCAGCCGTGGAAGCAGATCTGCACAGAGGCCTCCATACAGCCTTCTCTTTCTGCTGTGCCTGACAGCCCGGGACAGTCTGGGTGAACAGGACGGGCTCTCTCAGACACAGAGACCAGCATTTCAGCCTCTTTAACACTTTAGTGGCTGAGGCTCTAAACCACTCAGCAAGTGTTTGTCAATCTAGGTCACAAACTAGTGGGAAACGCATCGTTTATTCTGGTGCTGGCTGCCAGGTGCACTACTTTCATCTGTTACCAACTCCAAGCTGCGGAAACAATTACTGGGATCAAGATGAACATCCCTATGAAGCTGAGGGTCCCAAAACAAGGTCCAGAAAAGCAAACTGATTTTGCCAAGATGCCGGATTCTGTCGTGCTGTGGTGGAAAGGACCTTGGACTTGGAGTCAGAGGACCTGGAAACAGTCAGTCATGGTTGTGCTCACATCCTTTTGGAATCTCAGGGTTCTCATCTGAAAATACCCCTCCCTCATGGGACGGTCACGGGAACTGAATGTCATGAAGTATGAGACAGTACTTTGTGACCTTTTAAGAGAAATCCCCAAACACACCAAAACGACAATAGTGCTGGTCAGGATTCCCTGGGAAAGGCTATTTCTTCTCTGGGGCCTAAAACCTAATAGCACTAAATACTAACTGAGGAAAACAAGATTAGAAAGTCATTTGAGAAAATGTTCGTTAAGATCTGGGTCATCTGGAAAATTAATTTTTCCCTGGCAAAAACTTGCTCCCTGAGGACGTGCCCTCATCACATGGAGCTCGTGGACAGGACGGCCACGGGGAGGGGAGGGACCAGCTCTTCGATGCGACAGGACTTACCAGGTAGCGCTCTTCCTGCCTCATGCTGGGGGTACGGATCATGTGATTCTGTTCTCCCCTCCAGTCTCCAAATCGACGGAAAAAATAGTTCGATAAAAACCGGTTGACAGGGTCTCTAATGATGTTGATGTAGACAGGCTGGTCTCCTCCAAACCTATGATGCACACAAACACGGAGCTGGTTAAAAGCCATCACTTCTGGAGGAAAATCAAGCCCGCTTAGATACTGGCTCCCCGCTAGGTTAATGTATCATCAGCAGAAGACCCTGTCTGCTCAGGTGCCAGTGAACAAACTAATCAGCAAGCAGTGTTTCCTGATGGGCACTTAGTATCCCGCGGGAGGTGCCTGTCCAGGTACCTGCTGAGAGGCGGTGAGGGCTGTGCAAACTGCGGTATTTGTCAACATGAAGGTATAGATGCGGTCTCGTTTTCTCAGGAGGCTGCAGGTCCCTGAGGTCGGGGCCACGCTGAACTCGGTGTTGTATTCCCACTGGCCCTCATGGAATGTTTTGACTGCCTGGTAAATTCCGAATATGCCTCGTTGGGTGAAATGGTACTTATCCTACATTCTAATTCAAACAGTCTCAGATAAGGGGCTCTGAAGGAAGTGGATAATAACAGCCAACATTTATGAAATGCTCCCTGTTCACCTTGCTGTAAATACTTTGTAACCGACTCACCGAAGCCTCCCCACACCTCAGTGGAGTAGATATCATAATTATCCCCATTTACACGGGGGAAACGGAGGCAGGGAGCTTGTAACTTGTGGCTGAGCCTGGATATGAACCCAGGCAGTCTGACTCCAGAATCTGTGCTCTGAACCATGGAAAGAAGATTCCAAAGCTGAGAAAAGTAACAGTGTAAGGGATAACATGAACACAACAAAAATCAATATAATTATCCTCAAATGATGGCAAGGGGTTTTAGATAAAAATAAAGCAAATATCTAAGTGTGCCGTTTTAATTCCTTCCGCAAAGGGAGTAGACAAATGCACTGAATTCTGGCCCAAGAGCGAGGCCTTCGCCAGACAAAAGGATTAGGTTGGCTGAATCCGTCTTACGGATTCCTCCCCTTTCTCTTTGAACTGCCTCAAAGCAGTGACCCTGAAGGGCCTGGGAGAACTCTCCAGGCTCTGGGCAGAGGTCTTGCTCTGGGGACCTCCTGAGGGACCCACAGGCTTCTCTCACCCCGTGACCTTCCGATGAGGATGCCTAGACATTCTGTCAGGGGTCAGAAAGAGCTCAGAGAAAACAAACTGACACGATCCTGCTGCCACCTCTCCAGCTGGCAGACTGTTCACCTTTCAAGACCCAGCCCAGAATCACCGTCACATCCTTCCGCAGTTGACTCCCATCCTCGTGTCGATCCCTCCCTCCTCTGGCTCAAATGCTCTCTCCACTCTGTGTGTACATGTCTGCCTCTCCCATCAGACTATGGGCCTCCAGAAGCCAGGAACAATGTCCTTTAGACAGTGTGTGGCACACAGTAGGGGCTCAACCAATGAAGGCATGGTCTTAGAAGACACCATGGGTGGAGGTTTCTGAGTTTGCAAGTTTCCGCCACTATCACAGGGCTCTGTGGTAAAGGAAAGTAGACATAACGAGCCACCAATCGTTTTCTGTGTATTGATACACAGAATGCTTTCCCCAGGTTTTTCTGTTTTTTTTTAATGTGGACAATTTTTTAAGTCTTTATTGGATTTGTTACAATATTGCTTCTGTTTTATGTTTTGGGTTTTTGGCCGCGAGGCATGTGGGATCTTAGCTCCCCGACCAGGGATTAAACCCACACCTCCTGCATCAGAAGGCGAAGTCTTAACCACTGGACTGCCAGGGAAGTCCCTCCAGGTCTTTGCATTTTAAAAGAGAATCTTCAGAGAGAAGAATCCAAAGGCACAAAAAGGGATGACTCTCCAATGGTGTGATTTCAGGCACCAGGATGCATGAGTGGATTCTGGACTCCTCGAATACACCACATTGGAAAACACACCACTCAGGAGCAGGGTTAGCCATGCCAACACGACTCTTTGTCAGATCCAGATGTACACAAGGTGACGTTCACGCAGCTGGGCGAACAACTAACTAGTTCCAGAAGCCAGCTGTGCCAGCCACCGCCAACCACCATCATCCTGGATGTATCTTCCTCTTTTTAATTAAATTGGGTTTCATATCTATGATAAACAGCAACTAAAGTAATAGGGTTAGGGATTAGAAAGACAAAGCCTGCATACCAGATGTGAATGCAATTCAACCCTCAAATTGCAACATGCTATTAAAAACCTCAACTGTGCTTCCATGGTCATGTGAAGAATGACTATTACCGCTAATTAGCAGAACCTCCTGGGGCTGTGAGTCCATGCACAGCTGCCCACTACGAGATGGTTTTCTCAGCCTGGTCACAGCCACATTCCACTGAAGGCTGTAGATGAGAAGAATGACAAGGCTTGTCGAGCTGGGGCAACCTGCTCCTGTTTGCACATTGTGACCGAATGCAAGATTTCCAGAAGTTTTAGACAATGTAGGAATTTATTGTCAAATAGTATCAGATACTGTAATAGCCTCTCTAGAAATTTCTAACTGTGAGAGAGGTATCTGATACATATCCTCCTTCCTCTTCCAGAAAATGACAGTAATAATGGTTTCAGACCACCAACCCTCATCCTTTTTCTAGGACACACAGCTCCTTACCAAACTGGCAAAACCTGGGGTGACATGTTAGTTACACAAAAGGGGCCAAACACCACCCATGTATCCCTGGGCTTGAGAAGGGAAACAAATGTCCCACCCTCATCCCATCCTCTCTCAGGATCAGTTTGTCTTCTCTCAGTAATTTTAAAATTCTGGTCAGAAGTCCAGGTCACCCTTGGAAGGTCTCTGGGTCACCTGAACTGACTGTTCCCCCCACCCCTCCCCTGCCTTCCCAGGAAGCACAACGCTCTGCCTTATTTTTTTAAAACCCTTGAGAGGAGATTCCACAGCCTCCCTGTGAAGCCCATCAGTTGAGGCGTCCTTGTTACACTCGACCAAAATTCCTAATCTTCCTTTTGTGCACATTTCCTTTGGTTTGATCCACTCGACACAAAGATCAGCTCCTATTCAGATGCTTTCACAACTTTAAGCCTTCTCAGCTCCTTTAGTGTTCTCTTGCATGTGTTTCTTTTTCTTTTTCTTTTTCTTTTTTTTTGCGGTACGCGGGCCTCTCACTGTTGTGGCCTCATGTGTTTCTTTTCGAAATCCCTTTAGCATTTGTCTTGAGATTCATTTCCCTTAATTTTATAATCTTTAGGTCTAATTTCATCTTTATCAAGTTTTTAAAAAACCTGAGCCGACCACAGCTGATGAGAGGTTCTGTGCTTTGCATATACTGGAGAGTAGGAGAGCCAGGTCATATTTTGTCTTTCACTTAACAACGCCCCCTCTTTGCCCTTGGTCACCACAATAACCACAGCATATTTTGAGCTCTTTCCAGGCATCCTAAAATAGCAGGTATTTCCAATTTCACTGATATCTGTTCATAGGTCATATTTACCAACTCTTTAATTACCCCTGTGGGTCTCCTTCTGACCCGCTGCAAATTTACCGTATTCTGTTTTTGGTTTTTTGAAGAGAAGATGAAGGTCCAAAGCAGGACATAATTCTCTAGAAATAATAACTGCATGGTTCTCACTTCTCCCATGCATTCCATTCTGAGGATTTTCTTCACCATTCGCCCCACACAGCTACCTCCATGGATCAACCCTTCAATCAACACTAGTCACCTCCCACTGGCTACACAAAGCACTTGGGAAAGAATTTTAGGTACACTTTCATCAGATTGTTGATGATATTCTTCCTGGGCCGTTATTGCATGTATTAAATAACAAGACTTAAGGCCAAAACTATATGCATGACTCCTCTGCAAGGCAGAAAACCACTCAAAAGTGACTGTCCCCAAATGCCTTATGTCAAATATAGCAGATTGCACTGAAGGCCATCAGACTTGAAGGAAATGTTTCAAATTTTATATTTAAGGGGGGTGGGGGGGAAATGGGCAAGTAAAGACTGAAAATGTTTAGTAGCAGTATCAGTAAATCATGTTTACACATGAGATTTATAGGCACGGGAGGGAATAAAGTTCTGTTATATTTCCTTGCTTGAGTTTCATACCAGATGCATTGGTCCGCAAAGGATTTGTATCACAGGAGATGGGACAACATTCTGCTCTGAACTAAAAGTAATTCTTTAGAGACATAACCTGCTTACCAATACCTGTCTTTGATTCACATTTTACTTTCAATAAAGCATGAAAGTGAAAAAAAATTATTCTAGAGAGTTAAGACTATTTTGTCCTCCTACTACAGTAGAGTTTTCTATGAGTGCAAACAGCTTTTGAAAGTATACATATATATAATTTTTACTTGTGCTAAAATACACATAACATAAAATTTACCCTTTCTGCCATTTTTAAGTGTACAGTTCAGTGGCATCAAGTACATTCACACTGCTGCGCCACCATCACCATCATCCAACTCCAGAATCTTCTCATCATCCCCAGCTGAAAATTCTGTGCCCAGTAAACAATAAATCCCGTTCCCCTCCTTCCCCCTTACCCCTGGCAATTTCCATTCTACTGAAAGTATATCTGTATTTTTCACCTCTGGCCTAAAAGTAGAGGTTATTCCTGCGCTGTCACCCACATCAAAAAAGGAAGAGTGTCCCAAGGCTAGTGGCCCATGCTTTGATCCCTGGCAGTGAGGAAGGAGACACTTTGAAGTGAGAGAAAGGCCACCGTGGAAAAGGATATAGTTGTTTGGGGGGCAGCATGAGGGGCTGCCTGCAGGCGGAGGAGGGGCAAGATGGTTAATTAATGGTCATCTGCTGCAACGGGGTGGAAGCGCCACCCTCCGTTCTCACAACCTCATTCAGTGGACACTTTGGTCCTTGGTGCCCAGCACAGAGCCTCCCACCACGAAACGCAAGCAGAGGCTGAGCTACTCTCTGCTCCCTGAGTGTCCTGAGGGAAGAGAGGTGGGGGCTTTTGCTGAGTGAGGGTGAGGCAGCTGGGACACTGGAGTTAAGGTTCCTGCTGGGAGAGGAAGATGACTTGATGGAAGCCAATAGAGAACAAGGAGGAAGCCCTTCGTGGTGTGCAGGGAGATGGGCTCAGGGCAAGTCC